ACCAATTAGTGACAATTCTAAGTCCGATTTGAATGACACAAGCTTTTTCAAACCTGTCTCCTGAATTTTGTGCACAGCTAAGGAAACTACTAAGCATATACCGCTACAAGTCAAAGATAAATACACCATATTCATAATACTTTAGCTTCTTTAATTGACTTTACTTAGCTTATAAAGAAGTCACAGAATACTGTAAAGATTTTTCCTGCACATATTCAAAGACTAAAAAATTAGATTTCAGAACACATACCATTGCTTGTCAGCTATTCTTTGAGTAAATTCCCTGGTGCCTGACAGAAGGGCAGGAATAATAGTGTTACACCATTTTTTGAGGGAAAGAGGAGCTGCTAGAATAAATTCTGCTCATGTTACATGGCAGAAGCAAAACACAAGTTCTTTTCTAATGCTTTTTCTTTGGATTCTCCTTGTTCTCAAAAGAGAAACCTTTGCAGTCCGTGCTGACACATTTTTTGGCCCTCAGATGTATGAAGTTATGTAGCATTCAGGTCATACTGGTTGATTTACTTTGATTACTGATGTTTCCTTGAAAGACAATGTTGTAGCTGTGATGGTCCAGGAATAATGCAAGAGGCAAGGATTTCTTAGGGACATATCTTTTATCAGACCAACTGCATAGTTGAGATACTCACACAAGTTTTTGAATGCAACATATTCTTCTGATGAGACCCAAAGAAGAATGCTTGGTGTTTGATTGTTGAAATCTATCCCCACTATGCAGTTGGTCCAATAAAAGATAGCTCCCTCAGAAATCCTTGCCTCTTGAAAGACAACACGTTCAAGCAAATCCTACCTGGCTCCTTTGCATGGACAAGATGATTTTTGTGCCCTACCTCAGCAATGATTTCTTTTCCTTCTGATGTGAAACAACAGTGTTAAGACTGGCCTGAAATCTACATTTTTAAAATTAATTTCAAGTCACTTAAAAATTATTTTAAATAGAAGAAGAGGGAAAGTAAGAAACATTTATTTCTGAAAAGTAAAATAAAAAAAAGAGAAAAGTACCTAGTGCCAGAGCCTCACCCCTTCATTTGATGCATTTTTTTTTAACAAAGCTGACAAAAACCCCAATATTTTCTTCCTATGAATCTTTATATTTTAATGCAATGTAGAAATTAACAAACTAGGAGAACTAAATAAAAACCTATTAATTTCTTTCCTTTCTGTATGCAGCTGTTATGGTAATTTGTAAAACTTTTAAAACAAACTTTCCTCGCTTCATTTTCCGAAATGGCTGTGTATGCAGTTGCATAGCAATTGACATGCAAGTCCTGACCAGTGCAATTCAAATCAGGATCATCATCACTGACATTATCACCAAAGAACTTTGTTGTCTGTCTTTGTTGTGCTCATTTAGAGACAGCACAAATGGCAAAATAGCTCTTCCATCTCCATAAAGGGAAATCAGCAAGGCCCAGCTGCCATAAGCAAACAAAACATCCTCAACCGTTTAGAATGATCGCCTAAAAGGCGAGATAATATATATATTCCCTCAGACTTCTAGTACTGAGTGTAATTCAAGGAGACTCAATTTGAACAGTTTAAATTCTTCCCTCACCCTTTCACAACTACCACTTAAAAAAGAAAATTGGCCTTTCTAAATATCCAACATGGTGCTACCTGTGCCTTCCTTGCCCGGTCTCAAACATGCTGAAACCATTTCTCATCTCAGTGATATTATTTTGACATCACAGTAACTGCACTGACCTCAGTAAGGTGTTCATTCAAGTCTGAAATATTTATTGGTAAACAGTGTGGATCTCACATTTGTTATCTCTCATACCCATGAGTGACTGGTGCCTCCTGTATCTGGGGGGGCATCTGCAGTAGCCACCAATGGCAGCGGCCCTGTCAGGGGGGCACCAGCCCTACCGACAGCATCCATGTTGGCCATCAGAGGGGCACCAGCCCCATCAGGGGGGCACGTGCACCCCCATGTACCCCCTACCAGTCACCTATCCTCATAACTCCCGGTTTTTTCTCAAAATCTTGAGGTAAAATTATCTTAGCTTTCATTTTTATGAAAAATCTATTCTTTATGGTTATGAAGAAAGACTTGAAAACAGGTCTAAAATATACCAGAGACATAAAGACCAGAAGGCAAAAAAAAAGAATATCAATTTTTATTAGCAGGGACATAGCCATGCTGGAGGAAAGAGTCCTGAACAGGAATGAATGGTGACCACCATACTGCTCTAGGATGAAAAAGTGTTTTGCCCCCTAACTCATTGACTGTTAAGCCAATTGCACAATTTGGGGGGTTTGACCCATGGGTTTGTTTGGTTTTTTCCTATTGCAGCTGTCAGTATAAGTAAACTGGCAAACTTACTAACCTCAAAACAGATGGGGAATGGAACAGGATGAAAATGAAATGTTTATTGTTCAACCAACATCTACAGAGGGAATTTACAGGAATTTAAAAACCAGACCAGAGGTCACTCTTTACTTTAAACAAATCTCCACTGTCAGCACTGCCTTGATATGTGAGGGGAATTTGGCTAGACTGCAGGGATGATGCACTGACTTCAGAAGGCAAGTGGAGAGGGGAAAAAGCCCATGCTCCAACAGTGCTTTCCTTCCACCTCAACAGGTCAGGCAGGATGTTACTGGAGGGACTAGAGAATTCATTGCACCACACCTAGAAAAGAGGGCAGGAATGAGAGCACATAGCTGAGTTGCGCCTCCCTCTCCAAAAGCAGATTAAGATTTATAGGACCCACTCCCAGAAGTAAATAGGATTTTCTTGCTCATGAAATTTGTGCCTATTTGGAGAAGGAGAGGCCTGAAATCTCGGTAGACCCTGTAATTTTAACTTGTGCCCTTGCAGGTCTCCCTTTGTACAGTATCCATATGTCCCTGTGGTGGGGTGAAGACTAGATGCACAAGTGATCTGACTCCTGGGACTAGAACAAAGCATCTTGGTAGTTATAGAATAGGAGCACTGTAATCCTACACATAATGCTTATTATGGGAGATGAATGGGTGCACACTCCTCACACCAAAGCTACTTACTAAACCTGTAGCCTTCTGCTTCCTGTCTCTCCCACTGTGTATATGTCCTGAGCACATTTTACCAGGATGACAGTTTACGGTTAAAAATTATTTTTAAAATCTATTCCCTGTTCAAAGAAGAAACTTCAGGAGGCTGAGAAGCCATTGCAATATCTGAGTATTAAAAGCCACACAGAATTCTTAAGGAGTTCAGCGCAAAAACTGTGAAAAAACACCTGGGAGGCATTTTTCAGACTGGGGATAATGCCAGTTTGTTTTGGGCAACTGCCTTGTAATAGTAGTTATAACAGAGATAATCTCTGTATAGTCTTACAATGGGAGAAAGGCTGAATAGCAGTTGGGAGGCTACAATTCTAAAAATCTTTGAGACCTATTTGTGTGTATTAATTGGAAAACAAGCCCCAAATACATGGAAACAAAGACTGTTCATAGATATTCTTAGGGCCTTGTCACACAGGACACTTAGCACATGTTTTATCTGAGATTGACATAAGTATTACCATATTGCATTAAAAGTCAGAACATATTCTGAGCAGTGACATGATAATGCTTACTATAATCTTAGCTTGCTCCAGACAGTGCTAGAACCAGCTGTGCCCCCTGCTTTCTCCAGACACTAAGAGCTGCAGTTTACACATCTGCCCAGGAGAACATGCAACTCCCATGCCTGGAGCCCACGTGCTCCCTGCTATGCTCCTAGTACTGCCCAGCCTGGGAGCACCTACTCCTGCCACAGCAGGGCAAGCTAGGTCTTTGTTGCTGCTGGTGGGCATGGGGACCTGAGCCGCAGAGAGGATGCTGTTCCTGTCACTGCATCTGCATCTGTTCTAAGCTTGCATTTTAAGTGCAGGTGACATGTTTTAAGTGTAATGTGAAACACGGCCCTCAGTGAGCTCAGTGGACTTTTACCACCGATTCAAAAAGATTGAGAAACAGACCCATTGTTTCTAAACATCATTTTTCAAATGACACTTTCAATGTTGAATGTCTACTACACTGCATTTCAAACACCAACCTTAGGAGAAGACATGGGATTAATAAAAAACAAAAAGTTCTCTAGTGTTATTTAATCTCAGACAAAGAGCTGAACTAACTTCAAGCAGTCTTTCTGTAAGAGGACACTTTCTAACTAAAAAAGAAAAGATGCAACTCAACATTGTTAATCTCACAATGAAAACATTAAAAAAAAAAAGGAAGTGTGGTTCTCACGACTGATGTTTACTTGTTGGCAAAATTTGCCCAAGTCAACTTGAAAAATAAACCGGTCGGTTTCAAGTTCTATTTTACCGAACACAACGCCGCCTTGTTCACAGTCATCTCCTACAGATGAATGATGGGGACAGAGCACTGAAAAGGGATTAAAGAGGCACAAGCAGATCCTCCTACCAGCATGGTAGGTGCACTTGGGCAGACCTTGTCTCTTTTCTGCACCTCAGTTCCTCCACCTCAAATGGTGGAATGGAGATTAATTGAGCTCCTTTTATATCAATAACTAGGTAGGAGCTAGGTGTTAAGGTTATGGTTTTGTCATGATAAAATTTGATAAATATCACAGCAGAGGTACAAGGAGAAAGAGGAGTATTTGCAGAAAGGGATAAAAAGAACCCTTCTGCATCCACTTCCTTTCTCTGGAACCCAGCCTCAGTGAAGCTGTAACATGGATGGTTAATGCCCCATCCTTTCCTAATGTCTCTCCCAGGATCCTGTGTTTCACCTGCTGACTAAGCAGCAGGGTGTCTCACAAAAGCCATAGTATTGCTTCAGATGCATGGCTTTTGCTGTTGCCATGACAACATCTTAGTCAAACACACTTGTTTCATGATTAAAAAAACATAAATAAAATCATGGAAGCACTTCTACTTGGACCTGCTAAAATCTTGTTTTTATCAAACCTAAACTTTGGGCCTATATTGACCTAACAGCATTCACTTAAATGTAGGAGATAAGAGACCAAGTCTTGCCAATTTTACCTTCAATTTTAATGAGTTAAGTTTTTCCTCCCTTAGATGTTCTCTTAACATCTCTCGATGGAGCCTTTCTTGTTCCATGGCAAACTCTCCAAGTGTGTACTGACGCACACTGTTGTGCCGAGTAGACATGCCCAATGTGCTTCCTCCTTGACTGGGAACACTGGTGAAACCTTGCCGTCTTGTAAAATAGTACACGGTAACACAGTTAAAATGAACATTCTTCGTCCTCTTCCGTTTTTCCCTTTTCAGGATGGATGAAGCTAGAATGCAGGAAAATTATAATGTTATTATAAACCTGGAAGTCGCACAGCAAATCCTTACTTGCTAGATCATCCCATTCACTTTAAATTAAGTGGATTACTAACTTGAGCAAAATTTTGCAGGTGTAGGATCCAAATGGCAAGGTTATTATTAGAAAAGAGTAATAAAAATCATTTATAATAATAAACAAGACAATAGAATTTGGCTAATAAATATACTCCACTGGTTCATGCACAAGGTAAGTCAAAGTGTTTAAGCAGTGCAAGGAGGTAAATATATACAACACTACTAAACAAAAGCTATTAAAGTCATACAACTGCAAATGTAATGATTTGCTTTAAGAGCACAGATAATGTTGGTCAGGATGCTAAGGTTTTTCAGTACTCTCTTTCAAAATGTTTTATCTTTCACCAGGAAAGCAAATTAAGCCCAGCAAAAAGGACCTCAGCAATTGATTAACAACAACACAACTCCTTCCCCCTTTTCTTCCACTCAGCTTAATACTTTAACCCTATGACCAGCACATTGTAATATGGTGGAGGTATAATATTCATGAGAAGTTAGCCCGCTTCTTTAATTTCACACAGTCAAATCTATTTTTTTCCATTTCTTAATTCACTTGCATACAAATGTCTTCCTCTAAGAAGTGCTCTAAATTAAAATGGTGTCAGATACCTTATTTCTATACTGAAATGTGTGCTCCTTACTGTAGAGATTAGTGATTCTCAACTAGTGCTGCAGCAAAACATGCAATTAATAACATAAATGCAGAGACTTCAAATAGGAATCCATGGTGTTCAAAGCATTCTGACCTGTTGTGGTGTTTCCAAGTTCTTTGCAACAGAAGGATTACTTTATTATTTTTCCATAGTCCAAAAAACACCTGAGCAAAAGGTAAGCACTGGCATTTTCTGAGGGGCACCTTGAATCTAATGAAGGGTGCCTTGAGTCTACAAAAGGTTGAGGACCACCGGTATAGGCATTTGGTGACCCTTGGTAATGATAGTCAGCAGCTGTCCCTCAGAAATGGCTGTGCTTGGCTCTTCTAGTATAATAAAACCACAGACTTGTTCCCTGACTTTGAAGACATAATTTATTTGATTTATTGTAAATTGACAACTGAGGAACTGGATGATGAGTTACCGCCTTGCAATTTAGGTGCAACAGTTGCATAGGTATGATATGAGAAACCAAACTGTCAGAATACAGGTACTGAAATCATTTAAAAAGTGTCCAACTATTTCTGTAACACATGAAGCCATTTTATAAAAAGTAATAAGGCACAACAGATGTACATTGTTGGTCTAAAATTCCACTCTGCCAGGAGATTGGAAGCACCTGGCCTTTGGCCCCAGGTTTCACCACATTTGGTTTGCTGTCAGGGCAAAACATGCATCTAATGCCAAATAACGTTGTGTAACAAAGTTTGAGGTCAGAAATAAACAGGGAACAATTCTATACAAAGAGATTCCCAAACAATGAATTGCAACTTCCTTTACTCATCTTAAAAAATAAGGAATTGCTTTGTTAAGAAAACTACAACTTGCATGTTTTACAAACAGATGTAACATACCCTTCTGATGAGCAGTAGTGCCATGAAATAATCTCACATTGACTACATGCTCGTACGCAGTTATAATTATTGTTTGGTCAAAAAGAACATACACTTCTCCAGATGTCCCTCCAGGTGTGCTAGATTTTATCCATAAATAACCACTGAGTATAATGTTGCAGAAGCCCTGCTTTATTTTACAGACATTATTTTATTACATTCATTTAACTGCAACTTTGTATGTTAACAGTCTTACTCTATTTTGTCAAACAGAGAGAGAATCTGAGTATATCTGTTATAGCTAGAGCTGATTAAAGAGGTGTCCAGGGAAGAGCTTTTTTTTCAAAAAAACAGTTAATTAAAAATGTTTCACAGGTATGTGTCAATTTTATTTCCTTTTTTACTAGAAGAAAATTGAAATAATCATTTCAGGTTTTTAGTTTTGTAATATTTCAGTTTTAATTTATCCTTTTGATTCATTTCTTTTATATTTTTTGTCTGGGTTAATATTTTAAAATTTAATACACTATGTTACATGTAGTATTTTATATTATAGCCACATTTTGAAAACAATACATTTTTTACCTGATCAAAACAAAATGCTTCTATGTTTCTTATGTAGCTGTACTCCCCTGTGTAGCAGTATTGATATCAACTTTAATCTTTAGCATGGGTGGGATTTCTGTCTCCCGATGAAATTAAAAACATAGAGTTGCAACTAACAATGGGAAAGCAACGGTACATAAAGTAAAAGAAATAATCGCTACTAGGGCTGTGTGAAATTTCACCAGGTATTTCATTTCAATGCTGTTTCAACTTGTTTCGAGCTTGAAACAGTGAAAAAGAAATGAAACGAAGGGCTTCAAAACAGCCTCAAAATGAAACCAGGGCACTTGAAATGTTTCAAAGGTTTTGAAACATTGTGAGTTTTGAAGCTGGGCTTGCCTGAAGTGAAAGAGAAAGTAAGGAGAGGGAGGGGAAAGAGGGGGGAAGGACTGCTCTGACATTGACTGTGTAGCTGGCCAGTGGCTGATCCTTCCATGAGGTCCCTTCCAATCCCAGTGCTTTGGGGGGGGGACGGAAAAATAACTGTGCCTTTACACACACACATAGTCACACGTCACGAGTTTTGCTTGTCAGCAGCTTGAGGTGCATTTTCCCAGAATCCCCTGCACCTATCTCCTTGAACATTGGCAGGCTTCATGCCCTCAGCAGGGTCATCTCTGCAGATTTCACCCCACTGTGCTTTCACATACACATGTGAAACAAGTTTTGCTTTCAAGAATTTGAGGTGCCGTTTCCCAGAAACCCCTTCACCTATCTCTTTGCATCTTAGCATACTTCATGGCCTCAGAAGGGGCTACCATCTCTGCAAGTTTCATTCAAATCAGGCAAGAAATGATAAAGTTATAGGCAGTTTCATGCTTCCCCATTATAGCCTAGGGGTGAAATGTCAAAACAGCAAAACCGATTCAATGAACCGAACTAGAAGAGTGCTTCAAAATGAAACAAATCTCAAAACCAAACACCGTCCCTTTGAAATGGATGTCAAAATGAAATGGTGCTATTTTGCACAGTTCTCATCTCTACTATATTAAAGAAAGTTTAAAAACTGAAGTTGAGAGTGAAGTGAGTAATTTAAGAGAAGATGTTCATGTCTTTAAAATGCATGTGGTTATGAAGCCTATAATCATCATAATCTGTAATATTTGAGGGTTTAAGGGTAAGGAACGTTTTAAAAAAATATATATATATCCCTTAACACTGAGATTTTCTCACAGTATCGTTTAGTGGCAGGAATGAGTTGCTGGTTTTGTTTTGTATTTTAGGTCTTTTTTATGAAAAAAAGCAATAATGGATTATTTTCTTCTATACATTTCATTAATCTATGATCACAAATTTTACCCACAGTTACATTTAAAACTTAATAATTAAAACAAAACCAAAAGAGAAAATAGCTTGAACTACAGAACGGTTTTGAAAACCAAAAATATCCTTAGTTCTCATGCCTATAAAAAAGCCCTAAATCCTAAAAACACTTTTGTTATAAATTACATCCCAATCATTGGCTTTTATGGCATGTCAGATTTTTGTTAAAAAGTGGAAACATATTGTAGGACATCATTGCAGAATATTAACTTTGTGCTTAAATATTTAGCCAACAACATCTACCACATTTATAACAACAGCATTGAAGTGTTGGGATCATCCCCTGGGAGAATAAAACATTCACACAGGTGATCTCCTTTAGATTTTGGAGGAGTTGTTAGGTTTTGGAGGGCTGGAACTGATGTGAGCTAGCTCACAGAATTCCTTTGTTCGTGTGTCTAATTTTCTTTCACAAAAACTTTTAGCAATTGCATTATCAATGGCATAAACATCAAAAGCAATATATAATCCTAAAGAAAAACAGTTAACACAGGATTAAGATAAATAATGCATCTCATTAATTAAAGATAAAATAGAAGTATTATCATAAACCTTAAGAATGATAAACATAGGAATTTCAGAGTGAAGGCAGTGTTGCCAGCTCTCTTGATTTTATTGGGAACCTCATAAAGTTTTGTTTTTTCTAAGACTGCACTTCTTAGTGGTATGTAAATTATGCGAGAATCTTATTTAAGAGAATATAAAATGTTTGGCCTATCATGCAAACAAGAAAAGCTTGAAAAATATGCACACTAAAGGCTTACAAACCAGAATGCAAATCCAAAGGATGCAAAATATATTGTGAAAAGAAACAAAAAAACCCAGCCCTCTTATTTTTTGGAATCACTTTCTGATTTTTCTCAGAAAAGCAAAATGTGATAAAATTACACTAACAAGCAATTCAAACCTATTAATGCACAGTTAGGACACCATGCTAAACCTTTATTATTATGATTAATCTTGCACATCAAACTTTTAAAAAACTGTTAATTTAAAGATGTCTCTCCCCCACCCCACCACTCTTTTTGAGAACACACTATTTTTTCTCCCTTCTTATCCATGGGGTCACTACATGGCAGAATTTGGATTCTGCACTGTGTTTCCAGCCTTGCTACATTACACTTGGGAAGCAATACAGATATATTATAGTCATGAGACTCTTATTCATTAAAACAAAGCAAACAAGAGCTATGGAACACAGGGTGATTTTGCTTTTAAGTGGTTGCTCAGGAGCATAATTATGGGTTCTACCATTCCGTGTTTCTAAAGATAAACAGACAGTTCTGCAGAGATGCTAAAGAGGTATTGCTAAAGAATAAAAGGGAAAAATAGCTAAAAGTTTTGACAATATAATGCTTTGTGTTTTTAAAGATGGAAAACAATTCTTAACCTTATGGTTGTTTCCAGGTTTCAAAGCCACTTTCTCATTTCTGTTACCCTTTTGGGCTAAATACAAACAGTCAAAAAGCCCAAGGCTGAATTGATTCAATCTTCACAGGTTAGTTTAATCTGCATAGA